CATACCAGTGTACATCTCAGCATCCATCAACCAAAAGGCAATTGTCCTTGATTGGCGCCATATACTTGTGTGAGTCAATATGGACTGCAGCTGCTGATCACTACCAAAAGAAGTTTAATAAACCAGGAAAGACCAAATGAATTATTGAAGGAAAGAAAAGGATGCACAAACAGAAACATGAGCCACAATAGGGCTAAGAATGTTTCATGTTGGACCTGGCCCTTTCTTGGCTTTTCGCACACATCCTTCTGAACCCAACTAGTTGGCTGGCAAACCCTGGTGATAGCTGAGTTTGCATGAGTTTGTATGAGTTTGTGATAGGCAGCTTAGTTGGCAAACTATCCCCACCTGTGCTGGATTTACAATGGATCAATGGCAATTTCAGCCGACCAAGAGGTAATCTATCCATTCCCGATTGTTTCCCTCCCATGTTGCCACATATTTTCATTGTCACCAGCACCAAAATCTCCATTGAGCATCTTGTCTCCAACAATGGATTGGTCGTGGCATTCGGCGTAGGCGATGGTCTTCTCAACTCCACGGCGGCGGTTACACATGCGCGAGATGATGTGATTCATGCCCCAGTGCCTCGAAGTGGAACAAATATGAACAGAAATTCAACAAATATCTGATGGTGTCAGATCCAATGGGTACACCTTTGGCATCCTTTGGCAATGAAGGTGGGCACCTCAAAAATATCCCAAAGTGCTGTCAGAAGAATTTGGAACATGACCTTTCTGAGCGTTGAGTTCGGCAGTGTGACTCCAGCACGGCCATATGTGAACAATGTGGAGGCCTCCAAACGACAGACCTTTCTGACCTTTCTGCCCTGTTGTCTTCACAACTATATACATCTTATGAAAAATAATGACCTGCCACCTGCGCATCCAAACCATCACATGATCCACCGGGTCATTTGGGGTAACAGATTTTGCACCTCAGTATGGGTATCAACAGCCACACAGCAATACAGCCAACCAAACTGCCGGGAAAGCATCCCTCTCAAGTTCATGAAACCCTTATATGATATATGGGTGTCAAATTCATTGGACATTGGGGATATCCCAAAGCAGTGATGTGCCCTTCCTAAATCAGCATCAGTATGCATCAGTGGCAAACCCAGGCAAACCCAGGCTTCCTAAATCATGCCGGCTGAGAAGCTCATCTTTGGCTTCCTTCAAAAGGGAGATCCAGAGGTCTGGCAAAGACATGGCCAGGCGATAGTCAAAGCCTATACCACCTGGCAGGGCCGCCAACCATGTTTAAGCATCTGTGCGCACGAATGGCTTCTATCAAGTATTTGATCAATTCATATAAATTCTACCGTAGTACTCTCAAGGACTTGGAAACACATTCAGTTCTCATTCTTATGTTTCTTTCCAAGACATCTTGGGAGTTCCAGGATTTGATTGCAGCGGCTCACCCTGGAAACTGTGGCAAATTCAGGGACGATCAAATGCAAGATTCATCAAACTTTGAGAGTCTTGGAATGGAGCCCTGGTCAGAGAATTTGCGTGACTCATAGTCTTACGAAACCTCCCATGACAAAGCAGCATCGAATCCATTGGGGAAGGTTCCCATTCAGCACAGCCAGCGGTTGTCCAAACATATCCAAACCATGCTGCCGATTTCAAGGCACCTTCGGCCACTGGCACACAGAGTCCAGGCATGCCCGAGACGTCCTCTGCGATCATGATGGCATTGGGTCGTAGACTCTTCACCAGCTCACTGGCTAACATCAAGTAGACCACCGCATCGACGTCCTGTGCGATCTGTGTACTGTAATCAGTTGCAGGGTGTTGAGGACTGGCAACATGGTTCTGGTATGTTCTGGTAGTTTGGGTCCAAGGATGTTTGAAGTCTTCAACGGGAAGGATTGCACGGGACCCAAGACAACGATGATTTACTCCCATGTCCTGATCTTTACAATTGCAGAATGGAGTTCTCATCACTTTCCAAGAATACAAACAGGATCAACCAAAGTGCACATACTCATGAATTGTGTCAATGTACGAAAGAACATCCTGACAAGTACAGGAAGCACTTGTTCCTAAGTTGGCAAGTGATTGGCCGTAATATGCCGTAATGATGTTGATGAGGAGATCAAGGGTTCTTCCCGCGGTAGCGGCAAACTCCCTCGACTGTTTCATATTGTTTCGCTTGCTGCCCATTGCTTCCAAGTCTCTGTCTGCATACTGAAATACTCCTTTCACGGGGTCAGCTTTTAGCGCCGAGTCTCTAAGGCATGGCTCAAATTTGAGGTTTGTGTTGTTCCCAACCGGGGTCAATCATGCTAGACTGCTAGACCAAAAATCATGAGATTTGCAGGTTCCCACTGGAATCGTTGCATCCATGATTTCTCGTCATGTGGAAACATCACGAGACCATATGACTTAAGGCTTAATATGCCCGTTGCCAAGGTTACAATATATACAGTACACACTATATACAGTACACATTATATATATATATTATAATATATGTAATATATATATATATATTATATACTGGCTCCTACTTGCACGGGCAAGATGAACAGGAATACGAGTCATCACTTAGTTTGGATCTTCATTCAGACAAACTGGCGCGGTGCCTCGTAATTGCCAGTGAAGCTCATGTACCTGAGTGCGCCAAAGTAGTTTATACCCGGAGTTCGAACGAAAGATAAATTATGATGTATTGTGAAGATGGGAGAAGATGGGGAGTGCGGAGTGCTATCAACAATTGTGGGGGTTTACGGTATGAGCAACAAAGTGATCAAACATGATCAAACTAGATGGGGATCAAACCATATAAAAACCACAAAGTCTCATTATGTCTCGTTACTATTCATTACTCATACTGCGGCTCCCAACAACTCGAGAGGGTCGACGAATCCTTTGATGATTTGCTAGCACACAGTGCTGGTATTCCTTCAGCATCCTTCAACCATGTCATTTTTGAAAAGGTGTTCTGAAATGTTTTGAATCCAACATTTGTTCAGAACGCTTTACCAGCACCCTCCACAATGAACACACAAGCATGGCAGGGAAATGAGCATCTGAGCACCTCATATCTTCAAGGGTCTGAGAGGGGGCAACCACCGGAACTAGAATGCCTGACTTCCACCACCCCCGTATTCTGAGTGTATCCTGCACAGCTTGTGACATGAACTTTAGAGAAACAACCTGCAAAAGAAAATTGGATCTGCCGCTGAATGATCTGCGTGCATCGGCCTGCTCCTTGGGATCATGGGAAAGGATTTCCTGTCACATCCTATGCAGCGGCTACAACCAGTACAGCCCCGTGCCAAGTTGCAACCCATGATGATGATACAACATGGAGGTAACTCCATCGAATCTGAAGCCGTCACAGTTGTATTCTTCAAGCCACCAGCGCAGATTGGACAACAAGTATCCTGAGTAGCTCACAACATGCAACAGGCCTTCACGCCAAAAGATTCAAATGTCACCTGATCTTCGGCTGGATTTGATGGCTCACTATTATCCGCAGTCATAGATTGCTCATCCAGGTCAGATAACGTCAGGATGTTGTCGAAAACTGGAAGGCCCATACAATGAGTAATACAGCAGCACGAGCTGAGGATCTTGTAGTGGAACACTTCCCTTGCAATTCTATCAAATATTTGAGAGTCATCAAGCGCAGAGTTAGTTTCTGTATGTTCCCGCGCACAGGAGCCAATGGATAGATCTTGTAGTTGCACAATCTTGAAAATTGAAACATGTGCCTGTCGTGACCACTGTGGTGTCTATCTTTTGAAGCTTCTATGCATAATCCAAAATCATGTCATGTGGCTTTTGCGCTGCCCATGTCATAGATGAGGTGGATATCGCATCTCAGAATCACTTTGACACCCTCAATCTGTCGGTTGTCAAACAAAACAACTAAAAAATGCATTGAGGACTAATCAAACGTAGGATGATGATCTCTAGATTCCACACATCTCGTTCTCGTTGCATCTGGTCCGCTTTGGACCCGACAGTGGCAAAACCCGACGGCCAATGGTATCTTTGTGGGTGTAGGCAGGGTAGGCAAGTCTCGAAGGACTTCGTAGTTCTTGTAGCAATACAGACCTGAGCACTGCAAAAATGAAGTTGAATCTATCTTCTGGCAAGTAAATCATGCAATGAAAAAAACCCCGATTTATGGATCACTTTTCCAAGAATGGTGAATTTGAATATGGGAATTGTTCGTTCTTGGTTTGCTTACCGCACGGAGACTATCCCGCTGAAAAACAGCTTTTGGATGCTTTTTGGGTGAGTCTTTCCCTGATGTTGCCCACCAAAAGGACCATGCCACAGATGCAACTGCAACCCTAAAAAACCTATACCGACGGGGAAAGTCTCAGCTAAGTCGCGTGAGTCCCAGAGTCGATGATAGCCACGGTCACCTGGGGGCATCGGTGCAGGTCCAACTGGTTGGCCACGACTGATCAGTGTCGTGCCATGTCTATGCGAACAATTCTTTGAAGTTTGTATCTTGGTGGGACCTTGGTGGCTCTCACATTCCAAATCCAGCAACAAACCCGATTCCCAGCCTGTCATAAAGTATGAATCGCTTTCTGCTTGGCCAAAATCCATGCCGTTCAGCCCATCATCTGCATTGTTGGAGACGTGGGAATGCACCAAGTCCTTCAGTAGTTGGAAAAAAGGGACATCACTGGAAAATCTGGAAATCGTAGATCATTTCACGCATCCCAAAAGGGGATTCACCCACAGGTCATGCCTTGGAATCGCAATCCCACCAAATGGCTGCTACAGATCCTAACAGTATCTAACAGATTCTAACAGTACCATCACATCCATCACCGTCACCCAAGAAATTCTTAAAGATTCACCAGGATCCACCAAGATCCGAGGATCAATGAGCACCAGCAGTCCCATTCGATGTGCTTCATCCACCAAGGCTTTGAACTCATCCGGGGTGCCCGAACGAGAGGACACCGCGAAGGGGGAGGTCACGTGATAACCAAAAGAGCCGTAGTAGGAATGCTCCATGATAGCCATCAGTTGAATACCTCGGGTAGGACTTAGAGATACTTAGAGAACAGACTTTATATGACTTTATGACTTTATTAGTGCTTGCGAACGTTTTGGGAAGCACATCAAACCGAGCTGGCACGGGATTCTTGCACACAATGGCTGCTGGTGCAGAATTCCCACACACACCCTAACACCAAAACAGCATAGTCAGCTTCTTCTGTCGGCTGTGACATCAAGCCTAATCCTCCGGCCAAATGAAAACTGTTCCATTTTTTTTTTGGGGGGGGCAGAAATTGGATTTTCCCTTTAACTTCAGGGTGGCCACAAGTTGCAGTGAGATGCAATTGTAGCCGGACTCTTTGATTCGTGGAAGCACGTCCTTTGCAAATTCCTGAGGCGATAGTCGAAATGGCGATCTTCATGTGGCTCCAGAAAATGTGAGCACTGGTGCACCATCTGGAGAATCTAGAGACCGAACTTGGGCGCAAAGCAGCGGATGTCCAGAATGCCCAAATACTTGTAGGACTGGTGACAGGATCTGGCCCAATACGTCCGTCTACATCAATTACCAATTCAACATCATAATTCTTATCACTTGTGATCTACAAATAACATAAAATAACACAGACGCAAGCGACTGGCTGATGTACTCAGCAAATTGACCGTGCTCGCAAGGTTGCCGCACCCGAATCGTTGCATCAAGGTTCCAGGTAGCTGTTACACTTGGGTTCAATGGAGGACATACCCACCTCACTGGCTGTTGGATAAAAACATCCTGAAAAAAGTGAATGATCAAGGAAGAGTCAAGCTGATCAATCCTCATCCCTTTTTTTAAGAATTATATATAGCATAAACCGACAGCATTCAACGACATGTTAAACACTCACCGTAGGACTTAATTCTCCAACCCCAATGAAGCACCGCAGCAGAACATGAAAAAGGTTCTTCCTAACATCAGCCTGAGGAGTGGCAGGGTGGCAGGACGGCTTACCAGATTCCTCGCCAGTGGTCTCTCATCTTTTTCGGGTCCCTGATTCTCTTTTTCGGGGTGTAGAAACTTGGAAGAGCCACACTGCTGAAATCCAAGCTGAGATGGGGCAAATATGGTTCCCACATGTCAATGGATCAACCCTTTTTTCCAAGGCCCAAATTCCAAATCTGATCACCAGGGTCTTTTGCTTGCTCTAACACTGCCTAGACACTGGAATTTACATTTCACATTTCACATTTCACATTTCAGTGGCACAACGCCCGGGCTGAAACATGACAAGGCGCGTGCGCTTCATAAATCCTGAGGCTTTGTGGCATTTCAGGACCTCGGCGTCTGGAGCCCACATCAAAGCCATCTGATGCCCTTTGACTTAGACTTCAAAACCCAACATGTGGATAGCTTATACATACATATATATGTGTTCCCGAATAGAATTGAAAATGACAGAAACGGAACAAAGCAACTGCATCGATCAGTCAGCACCTTTTGTTATGCAGTTGGCTTTGCGGCTGTGTCTCTGTCAGATGCCAATCGCATCTATCACAAATGGTTTCACAGAAACTCTGAACTGCAGTGGTGGTGTCACACGTCAAAATCCACCCAACCCGCCGGAGCGTGAAGCTCGCGCAAGTAAGAAGGGAAAAAAGAGGGGTTGTAGGTGGGAAAACACCACTGTACACCATAAAGTCAGCCGCAACCACCTGGCTCCCGAAGGACCTTAGGTGGCGTGAGAATCGGTCTTACGACGTTTTGAATTTCCTGAAAAAGTGGGGACACTCATCTGGTCATCCAGAAGAGCCCAGAGAAATTTAAAATGAGAAAAAGCTTCACTCACTGGTAGTTGTCGATCAGGATGAAAACCAGTGAAGTTCGGGTGGGTGAGTTCGTCCGCCCACTTGTTGTAGTCCCGCTTCATGTGTGAAGGCGCCAATTGAACCCCAGCAACATAGAGCATGGCGATGAGCTGCATTAGGAAGGCTGAGGTAGGCATATGCTTCGTCTTCTGGTTCAACAGGGCAAAGACATTGCCTTGATTGTCTGAAATGAGGCTGAGACGGGTACGGAGCAGAGATTTCCCACCCAAAGCCAAAAGGAAGTGGGTGAGGATCAATGTGCCAAACATCTCGAGGGTCGCAATGCGTCTGGTTGGATCACCATCCTTGTGAGCCCATGGATGGTCTTCAAGGGGTATCTTGTAATGGAACCACCAGGTCTGTTCCTTTGACGGGTTCTCACAGTTTGCAATCCACCCCCCAATGTAGGCCCCATCATCCGGGTGTGCACTAGCATCACTGGCACCCCACCAATTGGAGGCAGGGTCGTAAGGGCAGGGTTGGATCTGGGGGTTGTGGAGCAGCTGGAGGAGAAGCTTCGCAAAGGATCGTATGAGCTTGCCGGGCTTCCCTGAAGTAGTCGTCGCGGATTTCCATGCCCAAAATGGTTGAAGAAAAGGGCGGCTGAGGGGCCAAGCTGCCGTTGCCCAATTTAATCGTCCCAATGCTCTCTCAATCTCCTTTACCGTGAAGGTGTTGCCAGCCGCGATGGTCTGGAGGAGTGCCTCAAGTGTCTTCCTCTTATCTGGAGGGAAGTCTACCACTGGTCCGCATGGGTTGACCTGGAAACCTAACCAGGTGTTGACCTCAGATAACACCGTCTTGTGCCAACTGAGGGGGCACCCCATGGCTGCTAAGAAGAGAAGTAGTTTTGCCGTATCCTCAGTGGCGGAGTCCGTTCTGAGGAGCCAGCAAAAATCATCCACAAACACAAAGCCCCAGTCTATGTGTGGAAACGCCATGTAGCATAGTCTGAGGAGGAGTGCCGCCATTCTGCCCCAATAAAGTTGGGCGCTGGCCATACCATAGGTACCCACCTTGTTTATCCACCATTCGCCATCAAGTTGTGCTACCTGGTAGCGCCATTCGTTGGATTGGACCTTGATGCGGCGGTGTGCTTTTGAAACATCTGCTTTCAAGAGCGCCCAGGTGGTTTGTTTGTGTGGAGGTTGCCATGCTAGGTCGGTGCAAGACGCTACCGTCCCAGATGTCTTCTCCTTCTTGGTGGTTAGCCAGTGAATGGCTTGAACACAGTCCATCACTGTGGGTGCAGTGGTCTTCTCAACTGTGTTTTGTTGGATGTGTGAGTTTGCATGGCCCCAGCTTCCGTCGTAAATTGTGCGGATTTTATCTCCTTCATCAATTGCTGCCAGGGGCCCTGGGCAGAGTTCATCTGGGGTGCATCCACAGCGGAGGGCGGCCTCCTCCTGTGTGAGTGGGCCTTCAACCATACCCATGTCTACCTCTTCCACGAAGGTCTGTCTGACCTGGGAGGAGAAATCTTTGGCCGAGGGGTAGTTGTCCCGGCCCATGGGTATTAGGAGGTCCTCCCACAGAGGGGATTCTCCTTTGAGTTCTTCCTTTGTAGGCCATATACCCGGTGACGTCCAGGTAGGTGTGGTGACACCTAATGGGACTCCCTTGGCAACCCTTGTGGGGTAGGCTGCGTCTGCATCTCCACCAGCTTCCGCTAAGGCTGAGATGAGGTTCAGGTAGAACGGCTGGCCTGGCTCCATCTCCTCAGCAAGTTGGTGGTCCAGCCCAATCTCTTGGGCAATGGCCCGCCGTGTCTCCTTAAGAAGCTCCTTAGAGAACGGATGTTTTCTCTCACCCCTGTTGATGGACTGTTGGACGTCCTGTGCACATCCTTTTGCCAGGTGGCTGATGGAGTCTCCAATGTGCTTGATCTTGGACTGAGGTCTGAGCGGGGGAGGTCGTCTCCCGGCTGAGGGCTTACCTCCTCCATCACGTAGGGGTCTAGTCTTGAAGCCTGATTGAACGATGATCGGGTCGTCATCCAAAGTCATCGTCTGGGAAAGGGGTACCGATGAGGAGCGGTCTGTCCGACCAGGAGGCTCCCCTTCCTGTTGACATCCGGTGGATGGATGTCCTGTGTTTGGAATGCTCTGGATGATTGCTGCTGCCAGCCCTGTGCTGAGGTCCCGGGAGGTCATCGCCAATGGCCTCAGGTGTTCAGAATGGTTGCACTGGAGGCCTTGCCAATGGTGAATTGGAGGGTCCGTTGAGAAGGTCGTACTCTTCTGTGCCCTTTGTCCAAGTCTACACTGGTCCAGGTGGATCTGACAGTGATTTACCTCTTTGGCCCACTCCTGATAGACTCTGGTGGCCCATACCGATGAACATTTTGCCGCCGTTGGTGCCCGACTACACTCCGCTGGGTCACGAGGGTGTTCCAAGAACGAGTGAAATCCTTTGTGTTGCCTGGCTTTTGAGGCTAGGGCAGTGATGACCAGTTGCCGGAGCAAAAGGATACTGTCCTTGTCTGTGTCCAACTGTTCTTCCAGGGAATTTGAGTCGAGTCCCCATGTCTGGGAGGGATCACGCCCTCGTACTGGCCTGGGCGCTCCAGGCTTTGGAAACCATCGTAGGATGCTCCAGGTCCGGCAGTTGGGGCCGCCCCCCACAAATGACAACTGGCCCCCCACGGCGGCGCAGCAGAGAGTTGAGTAAAACTCATCCTCCAGTATGTCGTTTGGGCCCTTTTCTGGTGGCCTCAGGATATCCACGGCAAGGAGCCTGGGGGCCAAGTCCTGGTGTTGTTGGATGAGTATGTCATCCAAGGCCCCTCCGTCACTCCGGCCAGTGTAGAGGAGTAGTATGTCCCTCCCTTGGAGACTAGCCGTGGGTTGTGTGGTCCATACAAGGCGTTCCAACAGCCTGTTCGGAACCGATGAGAGCCATGGACAGTGCCCAAGCAGGGACTGTCCATCCATGGTCATTGTTGTGTCAAGTGGTCGGCCCACGGCCTCTTGCTGTGAATGTGGTGTGCTTGTGCCGTTGTGGTAACCTGGAGGAGATCTCCCCGGTTCCGTTGTTGCTTGGTTTTTGATTGGTGTTGGGGTGTCCATCAACCTTGGTGGGTGATCGGTGCAAGACGCTACCGGATCCGCCAAGAGTCAACGGTGTGGGCATTGCTCTGGGTTGTGTTCTGAGGGCGCGGCGTTGCATACCCAGCCATTCTTAAGGACCGGACAGTTGTGGGAGCGTCCGCAGTTCCCAGGACATTTCTTCTTGAGGAAGTGGTCACGGCAGTACTGCACTCCCTTGGGTGAGATCTTAGCCCAGTTTGAAGGCCATTCAGAGTCCTTCCCTTTTCCGGATCCCATGGCCCCTTTAGCCTTACCCCCTTTGGGTGATCCTTTTTGTTTGTTCCATTGTGGCTGAGTTGGTGACCACGAAGGGTTGCGTCCCTTGGACTTGGCTGGCCGTGTTGGGGAGTCAGGCCCGGAGCCTTTGTTGCCTTTCTGCCGGGCGACAGACTCATAGACCTCTCTGGTCCAAAACAGGGTGTCCTGACGTAGTTGGGCCATGGCCTCCTTGAGACCCAGTCCCCCGTAGACCAAGTTGTGAATCTCCCTCCATGCGTTCCTTTCAGCATAGAGGAGAACCTGTTCACTAGGTGGCGGTCTCCTGTCCGCAATGTCTTTCCCCCAGAACCATCGGTACCAGTCCTCTAGGTCCCTGTGGGTGATGTTCAACTTCGGCATGCTGGGAAAGGAGAGGATGGCCATGAGGAGGTTGGTTCGAAAGACCAGGTGCATGTGCTCCAACTGACGCCTCGTAGTTGGGAGTTTCCGTGTCTCCTCCTCTTCTTCCTTTTCCCATCCATCGACCGTCACCTTCTTGGTGGTCTTGATAGGCCGCTCATCCTGATCTGGTAGGGCTGATATGATGTACTTGCTGGCAATCCAGCCAACTTCTCCTTGTGCACAGAGTTTGAACTGTTTCTTCAACAGGGCATCCGAGCCTTGATCCTCCAATCGTGGGATTGGGAGCTGGACAACCACAGTCCATGTCTGTAGGAGCTGGCGTCGATCACACAGGGCATCCAGTGAGGGCGCCGCCTGTGGTGTCGTCTGTAGTAGTCCTGCGGGTCCCACTCGGCCCTGGCTCAGGCCCCCAGTGCCCAACAACTGCTGTGCTTGACGGACACATTGTGAGATGCGCATGGCCAAGTGATTCGTCTTCTCTTGTGTGATCAGAGCTCCCCCACGGTCTGTGTGACGGAACTGGAGGTCTGCTGGAGAGTTGTTCCGGGCCTCCGTGATGGTGGGCCATCGATCGGCAAGGTCCTCCACCGAGCGGTAGCCATCTGACGCCATCCTTGCCATGATGAAGTATGGAATCTCCTTGGACTGGAAGATGGTCAGGACTTGTTGGTGAAGCAGATCCACCTGATCCTTATATTGCTCGGGCACCACATCAGGTGGGGAATCCAATACATCAGGCACCGCCGCCATATTCGAAAAGT